CCAAGGATTGATTATGTACAAATACGCTTTTCAGCCGATCATTTTATTGCCGATAAGTTTAGATAAGTCAGGAACATTTGACTGACTAACTTCTAATTGGCGAGGACCAGACCTACCACCCCCGAGATTCCTAACTTGTCTAACTTCGGCAATTATCGGGTTAACCCCCCCCCCCACCTATCGGCTGCTGTAGCCACCCCTATTTGTAGCTCTATCAGCGATTCGCCTGAACATATCAGAGTCACACTGCCTTCATGCAAAAAATCATATGTTCCCCTCCCTCTTTTCCAGGCGGGATGAGAAAGTCTTAGTTCAACCAAGCCCAACAGGCCGCGCAACACTGGTGTTTGAAGGTGCAATGAGCGATAAAGGGCCGTGGACTGAACTGTCCTTCTTTGCTTCTCCCAGCAAACTTGATCGTAGGCCACCATTTCTTTGTAAGTTAGCTCTCTGAGACCATCTCGAAGTAATGTTCCCTGTTCACAATTCTTTTCAATCTCCTTTGCCCTACGAATACCGCATACTGCGAACTCCCACTTACTTCCATTTAGGTTTTTAGAGCGTTATGGTAGGCATGCCAGTTCGTATTTGGCTTGGCTTTTATTACTTTGTTCGTTTAAAAGGCTTACTTTGTGTGTTCTAATTACCCTTTCCATATTCTGTTTGCTGACTTCTTCTGTCTTGAATGGTCTCCCCTTCGTTTCTCTTGAAATTTGATATTTTTGTCGAGACTTTTTATTGCCGGTTTTGCCAAACTGATTTTCATTCATTTCCCATAAAGTTGGCCACTCGCCTGTTGTGGACTTTGAGCTGAGCCTCGATGGCTACAAGTCCTTCGACCAGTCGCCACTGCTGGCAAACCTTGTTTACCGCATCTTGAATCAGCAGAAAGATGGTAAGTTCCAACTGATTATTTTCTCTCCCCCCCAGAATTGACTATTTCCACGCGGACTCAGACTTACTCCTCATCCCTATACATAACTTATCCCAGTGCGTTAGGTTAATGGAGAAAACCCTTGCCGATACTATCTTCAGGCTCGGTTCCATAGGGCAGAGAAGAAGTGAAACGCCAGATGGGATGAATAGTGTATGCTGTACGGAGGTAGTGGGGGGAGTTGACTGTCGGACGAACGTGCGTCTGCACCCGAATGGGGCCGGTCTCCGGAGTGTATGAGTGTGGCAATCATAACAGCCTCCACAGAGCGGTCATTTTGTAAGTCAGCCTTGAAGGTGATTGACCAGACCGGAATGGGGTCGGCCTACAAGTGCGCACACAGCCGTGAGAAGCAAGGGTTTGAGCGTTTGCACAGTCGTGACTGCTTCGCGATAAGTCCATTTACCCTTTTAATTGGTGGCGCTGTGTTGACCGTCCGGCATATTTCTGGATAACTCTGTGTATAATCTTAGCCCTTTTTGGCCACAATAATGTATCATCCGGTGGAGGACGATGTGAATAGGTCTATTTCAACAAAACGCCCCCCGCTGAAATTTTTCTGTTCAGGGTTGTGTACACCTGTTCCAGACTGTGGTGTTTGTAGTGGTCATTGGAAACTAGCGATCACACCCTTGCGTACGATATTTACAGAAAAACTGAATTTTCCTGCTTGGAGTAAAATAGAGACCTTAATCATAGATCATATTGTGTTCACCGGAATGAGGTAGTTTGTCCGCTGACGTTTCGAACAGCTGGACCGGCTGTCCTTTGTCAATGCGTGAACTGACTCCATCGATCAGCAATCAAAAGTTGTAGGTGTTGGGCATGAGCTGATAGATTTTTCACCGTTCGCTGCTTGGCCCTCCGTGTTGATTTTGGCATAACTTGACAGCAGTTAGTGTCGTGTTTCGACCCCGCGGTAGAGGATGCTGGTAATCCTGGTAACCCGTGTTCTGCGGCTGCGTCGAATAGTAGTCTGGCTGCCTGCGAATCAAACCAGTCCTTATGTCCAATTATAGCCTCTCTGACTTGGGCTTACCACTAGCACTTGGTGAACAACCGGAGAAAAGTCGAATGATCTGGCGCTTTGTTTCTATCCTTAAGGTAGTACAACGCTCTGCCATAAGTCATGGCCGGACATTTAGTAACTGATAGACTAGTTCGTTCCGACGTGAAACCGTGAGACTGGTCTTAATTGTACTTGGTACGGCTGCGTTAACGCGTGACGTTTCGCGACAATGAATCGGAACAGTTCAATATATTCTCTTCGCAAACAGTGCAGACCGAATACTTTGGTAATTTTCGAGTGTTATTAACGTTTGAAGCCTGCTCCACGGAGGTCGCTATTTCAGCCTTCCGGTTTTCCCTCATGGAAATATGTCGGACCACTGGCCCCGATTACTCCACAAGGTAGTCTTCCTCGCACTTCCTCATGGAGCTGTGCGGGACTCCATATTTAGTATCGTCTGTGCCCCTTTGGACGAGTAATTTAGTTCACAGATGGTCTCCAAGCCAAACCTAATTTTTACCGAGTTTGATGTACGGCCGCTTTGACAGTTCCCTCCAGTCCATTGCTGCTCACTGTACCCTTTCGCTGCCTAATAATGCGATGGTCCTTCTATACTTGTGTCCTGATTTGCTTTTTTGCTACGCTGTTAATCCTGCTTCAATTTCACTCCAGTTTTGTTCACGCCGATTTCTTGCACCTCCCATTGCATCGACTCTTACTTTATATATACATATACTTTCGACTTCTTCTAGTGAAACAACTCATGGACCTCACTGGTCTCCCGGCTGGGCCGAAATATATCCAAGTGAAGCTCTATGACTACCATTTCACGCATCCCGGCACATCGTAAGTTTACGTGTTTCGTCCACTTCCTTTGTTATAGCCAAGCCAACAACCAAACGAAGTCATTAACAGTAGTTGGTGCAGGTAAAATCAAATTCTTCAGTAGTGAACCTTTTTGCCGGGTCTTATTGCGTAGATCTGAGTGTGTAGATTGTATTTTTTGCAAGGCTGTAAAAGTGAAAATTTTTTTCAAATGTACTGGATAATGAGAGCAATATTGATCAAATATATAACTAGACTGTACACTGTCATAACCTCGCCAAAAGCCACGATGTTCGCCGTGCAACACCATCTCGCTCGAATAACCAAGGGTGAACTCATCAGCAAGGATGGAAGAATGGAAGTGTATTGCTGTATGCGAATAGCGTATTTATAAAGGTAAGCAAGGCATTTACAAGCATGCACAAGATAAGCCTGTAATCTCACCAATCCTAAAGTGGGTAGCGGCTCGGCTTGCTATCTTGCTCATTCAACCGGCTGGGTAGGATCCTAATCCTGGCAGCAGATTGCTCATCATCCCATGAATTGCATGTGGATAGATCGGCAATGTGGCGTGGCGGCGAGTCTCCAGGGCAGACCTCTAACGTACACACACTCTATTTGTGGGTGATTCCGTGCGCGTGTGCGTGACGTACAGTCACTGGTACCACGGTCTGTGCTTTTCTTAAATGCGATGCATCTAAAAGCTGTCGTAAGCACCACTGTTACAAATTCCACCGTAACTTTCGACGAAGTTGGGTAGTATCCATCACCTGCCACTGGCCTATCGTTCTCTCTAGATTACGCACATAATAAGAGAATCCCGTCTTGTGAACGCCAGAAGCGCAATTACCTTCCTCTCACCGAACAACAGATAAATGAAGTCTTTTTTATATGTTTTTGTACCTTATCCGCTTGCACTAATCTTCAAATCGGGGATCTTTGTGGCCATCTATTGAATTTAACTGATATACCTGTGATTGATCTAATTACAGTGTTTTAAAACAAGATTACCATTAGAAGATTTCATTCATTTCCATTTTCAGAGTGGATTCATGTAAATCCTATATGCAGCCATCTCCTACCACCGATTAGTCCTTTTTTATTTTTGCTTGGGCTGAGTGTTCTTCCATTAAATCCTGTCCTCTTGAGTGTCGAGGCCAATTAATTTAAAGGGCGTTGTCTGTTCACGTCGTGCCTGCCTGCATATGCACGGGTTACCGCGCAAAATTTTCCCGTCGTCCTAGGTGTGTTGATGGACTATTTCGTCGTTCAGCATACGCCCCTTGCCTACTCCCCGTTGCTGTGTTTTCGTGCCGATATTTTGTTTCGCTCCCAAACGAGCCCGCATCACTTTAAAACTTTCACCGCGGACGTACCCGTCTTATTTTTTTCCGTCAATGCTCTTCATGCGTCATCCTGCAGCTGGGAGAAGGAAGTCTCTGTGTCTGTCGTCCTGCATAGTTCAGTCCAACATTTTTTTAGTGACCCCATCTTGTACGGCACTCAAACAGTGCTTTCAAGAATCTTGTTTGGCGCAGGATACCGAGTTCAGGTTGTCTGTACTACCGCAACACCGGGAGGTATTTTCGCAGTTGGTCCATGCTGCATTCTCTCCTGCAAGAATCAACCCATTGTCGAACCCCTCCATACACCTGCATTCTTGCCTCCTTCATGGCACCCAGATTTGCGTTTCCAACCCCGCCGCATCCATACACATATTCCTTAGCGAGTTCAGCCATGACGTAACCGCCTTGACCCCCCGCTTCTAGGCTGCCGTGAGAATAGAGGCGGTCTTGGTAGAATGGGACTCTAACGTCTTCAAGCCGATTATCACTGTTCCATACTGCAAACTTGATACTACAGTTATGCTCCTGTTGGCTGTTATTATGAACCGCGCCTGGTACTTGTAAGTAACACGAACTGTGATCTTGCCGGATCATTGCTCTCAACGCCAGCACGCGATAGGAAAAGAAGGCAATCGACCACGCGGAGAGGTGTATTAACAATTAACAAGTAATTTTCACAGAAAGGCCGCGTATGTTTATTGATCTGCTTGAGTTGAAAGTGCCGGAGACATGAGCCAACGAGAGCTGACGAAAGATCGATAGCCACGTCCAGGTGCGCGCTCTCATGGCAGCAGCGTGGCAGCTAACGTGGGTATTTTTGTCTACGATGACTCATCGTGGGAATGGAGGCATTCCCAACAGTCGTTAGCTGACATTTGGCGAACGTCTGCAGAATCAAGCTTGATTCTAAAGGCTAGCACAGCTTTGATGCCTTTTTAAAGGATGACAGAAAACTTTCCATCGCAATGCCATCATCCACTTTTTATTAATTTCCCGTCTACTTTTTCCTGCTTTAAGCGGTGCTGACTGGTGGCGACGCACACTCAAATCTGTGTACCTTCCCCCCACCCATGCCACTGACCCTCGCCTGACGAAGATGGTTGAGAAGTTTGGACTCGTTGGCCGTAGGGTGAGTGACAACGCCTTTTTTAATTCTGATATTATGTTACCTAAATGTATATACTGTGGTTTTGATAATGCCCGCTCTGGCCGACCTCGATGATACCGCATATTATACCCCTCCATGCGTGATAATTTACGGTAGTGGGTCTCGGCAACTCAACACACTTTTTCCTTCAGCGAAAAATATCCAAGCTCCAAGAACAGCTTCCACGTCCTGGTGGACTGAGTCGAACCAGGTTTCGAGCTAACCCGCTCTTCGACGTCTCCAATTGCGTAACAGTGTCAAATCGAGAGCAGTAACACCGAGCCCATGAGGTTGACCACGAAGCACGTATCCAGATCACCTCGGCCGTCTTTCTTGGATGGTCTGGGATATATTTGTGATGTCGCAGCGAGAACGGACTGTCTCATTTGCAACGAAGTCGGTGTACTTCACTCAAAGGATGCTCCTCGAGCAGTGGTGATCGAATACGTCCAGTATTCGTTCATCTTCTACGCACATAGCCCAGCCCTCACCCCCTTAGAGAATAACAGGCCGAACGGGTGCACAGTAGACGTAAGCCTTTGTGGCGAGCGAGATGTCGCGTTG